CATTACCACTATTTCAACCGAAACCACCACTAAAAATAATACCAATAAATTGTTATGAAATTTTGATACAAAATAAAACAAAACAACACAAAAAGCATTTAGCGACAATACATACGACAACTGCTGAAAAGAGACTTCATTGTTTTCTTTTCTCACAAATATCAAAACAATACTCTTCCTCTTTCTTTTTCTTTTCTTTTTATTTTTTTTTTCTTCAGTAATATACTCGTAAACGTAGCGAAAAAAAAAAAAAGAAAGTCATAAATCTATTCACAGTATAATAAATTGGTAGTTTTATAATTGCTGGATAGGCATGATAATTTTGTCGGCTGCAGGTAAAATCTTCGGTTCTTTCTTCTAGGTTTTTCAAGAATATTTTCTAATAAACAAGTATCAGGTGGATGAGTATTGCTTAAAAAATCAAAAAAAGAAAAAAGAAAAAAGAAACTTTTTTTTGTTTCTAAAGTTTCAGCAAAGGTAATTTGTTGCCTGCGCACTCGAACAACTATAAAAGTCCCAATTATAATGAATGGTCTATCAGCACCCGGCAGCAACAATAATGGCAACAACAAAGAAAAAGAAAAAACAAAGCAATCTTTTGTTGTCCATCTAAGAAGTATCCATATGTTTTGTTTTGTTTTTTTTTTTTTCGCAATAAACAAAAAAAAAAGCTGTATATTCAATATAAAAGCCAAAGAAAAAGAAGAATGAATAGACAACAAAAAAAAAAGTAGAAAAAACCGGAAACCCTATTGTTTTTTCCCCTTCCTTAACTTTATCCATCGAAATTAACTGAAGTTAAAGTAACGATGAAATAGAATGATGACAGTGACAGCGACAACGGCGACACTAGAAAAATTTCTTAGGCAACAACAGCAGCAATAACTACTAAGTAAAATGGACGAAGCACAGAATTTTTTAGTTGGTGTGCAACAGCTGAAGCATAAAACCAAAATCAATGCCGCGGGAATGCCATTGTATTGGCAATAGGTCTTTACACATTGCGCGGCGGTTACGTCTTTGCGCTCTGCAGCTCTCTTCTATAGCAAATTATATTTTGCCATCGTCTACAGTGCGACTTGTGATTGTAGTTGCTGTTGCCATTCCTCCGATCGGGACGACCACGGCAACAGCGATGGCGGTGATGGCGGTGGCAATGGCGGCGATGATGATGATGGTGGTGGTATGGTGTTGCTGATGGTGGCGATGCAATCGCCGTTGTCGTTGTTGTTGCTGCCGTTACTGGTGTTGGTATTAGTTGTGCTGCCGCCGTTCTTGCTGTTGTTGTTGATGGTGTTGTTCATGGTAGTGGTGGCAATGTTGTTGATACTGCTGCCACTGTTGTTGCTGTTGTTGTTATCTTTGTTGCTGCGGTTGCTGTTACTGCCGTTGCCATTGCCCCATTATTGTTGTTATTGTTGTTGGTGGTGGTGGTGATGGTGATGTTGGTAGTGCTGTTGTTGTCGCCGTTGCAGCTGCTGGTGCTGTTGTTGTCGCCGTTGCAGCTGCTGGCGCTGTTGTCATTGGTGTTGCTGTTGTCGCTGACGTTACTATTGCTGTTGTTGATGTTGTTGTTTTTGTTGTTGTTGTTGTTGTTGTTGTTGTTATTGTTGTTGTTGTTGTTGCTGCTGCTGCTGCTGCCACTGCCGTTGCTGTTGTTGTCATTATTACTACTGCTGTTGCTGTTACTACCATTGCTACCGCTGTTGTTATTGTTGTTTTTGTTGCTCCTGCTGGTGCTGCCGCTGTTGCTGCCGCTGTCGCTATTGCTGTTGCTGTTGCTGGCGCTGCCGTTGCTGCTATTATTATTATTATTACTACTGCCGTTGCTACCGCTGTCATTGCTGCTGCTGCTATTGCTGCCGTTGTTGTTGTTATTGTTGTTGCTGTAGATAACACAAATATCAAACCATCACCCATTGCAAACCATTTATTTACGAAAGCAGAAAAAGAGAAAAAAAAAGAATGGCAGCTACCACTGTGACGGTAAAAAAATGAAAGAGTAACTGTAGTTAGGTTTCAGTACTGAAATCGGCTAAGAGCAAACAATAAGGAGAGGTTGAAGAGGAGGACAGAAAAAAATGCATAAGAAAGACGAGGCTGAAAAAAAAATGTGAAAGAAATAATTTAATGATTGAATAGTTTTTTAAATTATAAATTTGCTTCTGTTCTAATTATTATTAGAAGAAGAATTAATTTTTTTTTAACATCTAATGTTTTAAGTTTTTTGAAAGGAGAAAGAGGACCTCTAAGACGTTCTTACCCTCAATTTTGGATTTAATTTACAATTACTATCGCTGTCAATGAAAGAGGAAGACAAGAAAAAAAAAAAGTTGGTACACAGTTCGAAGATGACAATAACAAACATGGAAAGTTTTTTCTTTGTCTACACATTAGTTGTAGGCTTTTGTTAGTCTGTTTGTGTTGGTGACTGTGCTAAATTCATAAGTTCAAAAGGACTATCATTTGTAATTATAAATACACAAACATACAATTATGAAAATACGATTCCACAGATTGTGTTGCGTGTCCATTGTTTAAGCGCAACTACGGCTGTCATACTCCAAACAGACAGAAACCGTCGTCTGCTATAACTAAACACATGCTGTCCGTCATACAGTCAACTTCATGGCGAAATTATGGCTTTTATTGTGTAGTAATTTCTTAGCAAGAACTTTACAACCTAGTTCTTTTTTTTTT